GGGGGGGGGGTGGATTGAGCTGGGGATGAAAGAGGGGAGGGAGGGGGGAGCCAGCTTCTTTTAAGTCATGGGGGGGCAGGGGGAGGGTCTTTGCAGTGACTCGGGGCTACGGAAGGATTGGGGGAGAGCTGCCCAACGGGGGGGGGGGGGGGAAGAGTTGGAATGGTTTAGACTTCAGGGTTGGGTGGTTGTCGTTTAAATGCAGGGATTTTGAGGGATTTTGTTTTCTTGGGAAATCTCTGATGGGTGGTTAGGAGGGGAAACGTCTCTAGTTTTCATTCGTCCTTTCTTGCTCTTCTATGCATCCATCTACTTTTATTTCCTTCGGTCTTTTCTCACCTTCCTTCCTTCCTTCCTTCCTTCCTTCCTTCCTTCCAACACTCTCACTCTCCTTCCTTTGGTTCATCCATCCTTTCCCTCCTTCCCAGTTTCCTTCCTTCCTTTCTCTTCCTTTCCTTTCTTCATTGGTCCATCCATCCTTTCCCTTCCCTCCCTCCCTCTGACCTCCCTCTCCTTCCTCCCTCCCTCCCTCCTTCTCTTCCTCCCCTCCCTTCCAATCCTTCCTCTCCCTTCATCCCTCCTGCCTTTGGTCCATCCATCCTTTCCCTCCTTTCCCTGTTGCCTGCCTGCCTTCCTTCCTTCCTTCCTTCCTTCCTTCCTTCCTTCCTTCCCTTTTTCTTTTCTTTCCTTTCCTTTCCTTTCCTTTCCTTTCTTCTTTGGTCCATCCATCCTTTCCTTTCCCTTCCCTACCTCACTCTCACCTCTCTCACTCTCCTTCCTTCCTTTCTTCCTTCCCCGTCTCCCTTTCCTTTTCTTCCTTCCCTCCCTCCCCCTTTCTTCCTCCCTTCCTTTCCAATCCTTCTCCTGGCCCCTCCATCCCTTCTTCCCCCGCTTCTTGCTGACTCCAGCTCCCATCATCCTCCCCCCTCCCAACGGGAACCGCTGGCACAGAGGGAGGGAGGCGGCGTGTCCGGACAGGAGGCGCTGCTTTGGCGTCAAAACATACCTGTGTGGAGTTTGGGGTGTGTGTGTGTGTTTGTGTGTGTGTGTGTGTGTGAGAGAGAGGTGATCTTCAGATCCAGGGATTTCCGAGCATGTGTGCAAGCGCTGGTGGGTGGGAGGCTTGGCACAGGGCTCGCCTTTCCGCGGGAAGCGGGCGGAATGCTTGGCACGGCGGTGAGGCTTGCCCCGGCGGGATGGGCACGCCGAGCCATGCTCTCAAACCCCCCCCACCCGCTGAATGGGGGAAGCCAAGGGTGGGGGAGAGGAACCAGGAGCCCCCTGCACACCTTGGCCTGGGTCAAGGGTTGCCCCTCTGCAGAGGGCGGGGTCTCTGGCTGGAAGGCCAAGCGGGTGGAGGGTGAGTCCCGGGGTGTGTGTGTGGGGGGGTGTAACTGGCTGCATGGGGAAAGTGGCTTGGCCTAACCATGGTTTGTGTCAGTCTTCCTTCTTTTTCCTTCCTTCCTTCCTTCCTTCCTTCCTTTTCCTTTCTCTCTCTCTCTCTCCTTCCTTACACTCTCCTCCCCTCCCTGACTTCCTCTGTCTCCCTCCCTCCCTTCTTTCTCTCCCTCTTCTTCTTCTTCCTCTCCTTCCTTCCTTTCCTTAATTTTTTCCTCCCTCCCTCCTCCCTCCCTTTCTTCCTTCCCTTCCGATCCTTCCTCTTCCTCCCTCCTTCCCTTCTTTCCCCATCTCTTTTTGCTTTCCTTCTTCCTCTCTCCCTCTCTTCCCCATCTCCTTTTTCTCTCCTTTCTTCCTCCCTCTCTCCCTTCCTTCCAAGCCTTCATTTTCCTCCCTCCTTCATCTCCTCTCTCCTTCCTTCCTCTTCCTCCCTCTCTCTCTTCCCCGTCTCCCTTTTCTCTCCTTCCTGTCTGCCTCCCTCCTTCCCTTCTTTCCCCATCTATTTTTTCTCTCCTTCCTCTTCCTCTTTCCCTCTCTTCCCCATCTCCCCTTTCTCTCCTTTCTTCCTCCCTCTCTCCCTTCCCTCCTTCCTTCCAAGCCTTCATTTTCCTCCCTCCTTTTTCTCTCCTTCCTTCCTCTTCCTCCCTCCCTCTCTTCCCCGTCTCCCTTTTCCCTCCTTCCTCTCTCCCTTCCCTCCTTCCTTCCAAACTTTCCTCTTCCTCCTTCCCTCCTACTGGAAGTTGAACTACTTAACATTGCAAAGGGTGGTGCAACCCTCCTCTAAAACAAAATTGCCAATCCCCACCGCTAAGCCACAAGGATCACTAGTTCCCAGAGAGTCACAGCAGTGTCATATTGTGAGTCACGACATCCCAACGCAAACGACGTGGCGGCACTTCTCCTCCTCTTCATGGAGTGCAATCATGTCATTAAACAGAACGGTTAAGTCAAGGACTCCCTGGTTTGATTTACTCAAGATCTATAGCTGCCTTTCTCAACTTTGTGCTACAGATGCTGCCTGAGAAGCGTTTTGAACGCAAAACCCTGTTTTTTTTCCCCACCTCTGGCAGCAAAGTCAATTTTTTTTTGGCTTTGCAAAAAAACAAAAAGAGAGAGAGAGAGAGAAAACAAACGAATGCAAAAGGAACCCGGCTTTAAGACGATGAGCCGATAATTGAGCTTTAGGATAGCAATTTGACAGGTTGACGGGAATAAAATCCAGGTTGGCAAAGGGTTGACGACTGGATGAATTAGGAAAAGAGTGGTTGGATTTTCCCCACCGCAGGCTGCCTTCAGCGAGAGCTTCACTGATAATAATCCCAAGGAAATGTTCAAAGCCTGGACAAAATTGTCCTTTAAAAAAGCGTGCTGCAATTTAAAAATTTTGCACGGGCCGCATTGACGAAGAAGAGCTGTCCAATTTCCGCCTTTGAATTTATTTAATCCAGTCCAAGCAAATCTAAAATTCACCCATTTGCGCATCTCCTTGGAAGCCTGCCCACAAGAATATTATGGGGTTTTGTTTTGTTTTTGTTTTTAGAAAGTTAAAAGGAGAAAGCTCTTTTGGAGTAGGTATTTTCCAAGGGCCGGTTGCAAAGTTGGGCACCGAGGACCGGAAGCGTGAAGCTTTAAGCACTGAGGACTAGAAACATGAAACATCTTGAAGAGCACCCTTTTGAGTTTGCGATGCCTTGAATTGCTGCCGCTGCTGCTTTGAACAGGCCAGATTGTTTCCATCTGAGCCTGAAACGTTAAATTTAAAAGAGTGAGCGCTAGAGACAAACAAGGCTCGGTTGATTTACGCAAATTTTATTCCGATTTCCAGTATTCGCCTCTGCTGAAGAAACTCTACTGTCAGATTGCAAAGACATGTCCAATCCAGATTAAGGTCTCCACGCCGCCGCCTCCTGGGACGGTCATCCGAGCCATGCCAGTATACAAGAAGGCCGAACACGTCACGGAAGTGGTCAAGCGGTGCCCAAATCATGAACTTGGACGCGATTTCAACGACGGTGCGATCTTTTCCATCCTTTCTCTTTCAAACGGTTTTGCACAGCCATCGTGAATTAAATCCAGATAATTCGACGTTTTTCCTTCTTCCGCTGCCATGCAATTTCCTTGCTCAAATCGGCAACTTTGCCATAAATCGATTTTCTTGGTTTTTTAGGCCTCTCGGCGCCCGCCAGCCATTTAATCCGCGTAGAAGGCAACAATCTCTCCCAGTATGTCGATGACCCCGTGACGGGAAGGCAGAGCGTCATGGTCCCTTATGAGTCCCCCCAGGTGATGCGCCGGGCCTGCAAATTTATGGGATGCTTTGCTTTGCTCTTTGTCTCCCTGTTGGGCTACCAAAGGTGCTAGTCCTCGTTAAGGTTTTGGGGGGAGAAAAGGATTGGCAGCGCTCGGGGCCGGGAAAGTGGTGCATTCAAGAAATGATTCTTGCAAACTTATCGCCTCAAAAGGAGGGAAAGCTGAACCTTTGATTTCCCTTTTGCTATTGAGCCAAGATTAACCCCATTACGGGGTTAATTCCCATGGGCGGAATGGATGTGTTTGCAGGCAGCAATAAAGGTTAGTGAGAACAAATCTGCTGCCACCTGGTGGCCCTCTGAAAAACCGCAGCCAAGTCTGTAAGAGTCTCCTTTAAAGGGACAGGACCCAGCTGCAAGCTAAGCAGGGTCAGGGCGGGTTAGGAGTTGGAGGGGAGACTGGGCAAATGAGAAAAGCCACGGACCGGGTAGCCAGGGTCATTCCCTTGTGTGCTGTGGCCCAAATAGAGGAATCATTGATTTAACTACAGAGGGTTTGTTGTGTCTGGGGAGCTGGATCCCGAACACGTAGCTTATGAATTCCACTCTCCGTTCGTTTGGAAACTGAACCTCTCTCTCGTTTGGTCTCCGTCAAGGTGGGCACCGAATTTACCACCATCCTATACAACTTCATGTGCAACAGCAGCTGCGTGGGAGGCATGAACCGGAGACCGATTTTAATCATCATCACGCTGGAGACGAGAGAGTGAGTTCAGCCCCTTTGGTGCTTCTCCGGAGTCCCGGTCTGCAAGGTCGTTGCTGAGATTAGAACCCGAGCGCCGGGAACGAATTCCCGGGGTTGAAACGGGAGTCGGGACGGGACGGATTCCCATTTGCTTGGTCCTGTTGGGTTTGGGTTTGTTTTGAGAAAACCGGACACTCCGTACGGGAGATTTCGTAGAATTGGGGGACCCTCCCATACCCCGTGAGAATTTTGCTTTCCGCCCAAACTGGAAAAGTTGTTTGATCCTTGTAAAAAGTTTTCCAAGGGTTTGAGAAACTCCACCGAGCTGATTGAAGATATTTTGCGGCTTCTCGAGCGTGGCACGATTTGCATGGCACTTTTTTTTTTTTTTTAATCGTGTCCCGATTTTCAGACACTGTGGTTTTCTTGCCAACTTTTTTTGCCGTTGCCTCCTTCCTAGGCATGAGAAAGAGTGGCTGGCTCAAGGTCAACCAGCTGGCTTTTATTCCCAAGGTGAGATTAGAACTGTTTCTAGCCTGATGCCATCGCCACGACATGAGACTGGTTCTCTCATGTAGCTGTTAAAAACCTCCCAATCCCAGCAGGACGGAAGTTAGTCACCAGTTTGTAAAACGAGGCAAATTTCTCACTTTGCAACAGAAATTTGGCACTCGATTGTGTCAAGGACGATCTGTGCTGTTTCCTCCCCCCCCCCCATAGTGGACAAGTCTTGGGCCGCCGATCGTTTGAAGGCCGAATTTGTGCCTGTCCGGGACGAGACCGGAAAGCCGATGAGGATCACTTCCGAGAACAGCAAGCTCTGAACGAAAACGCTGCGAAGAACGGAAACCCTAATAAGAGGAGTGAGTTTTGGGATTGGGGGTCCCGATCCTTGTAGGCTGGTTAGGGAGATGGGAAATGGAGTCCCATCATGGGAGAGAAGGCATCAGCTTAGGGTTAAAGGGGGGAATCCTTCCAGGATATTGTCTT